TCAGTCTGAGAGGATCACCCCGCTGTTTGTTCACTGCTGCAGAGATCAACCTGGAGGAAGAGAGGAGGGGGGAGGACGGCCGGCACTGCAATGCAGAACATCAGAGGAGGGAGGGAGGAAGAGGAGGGAGAGAGCTGCCAGCTCTGCAGAAAGGGGGAGGTTCAGGGATTCCCTGTTGGTTTGGAAAAGCTCCAGAAGGAGAAACAGATTAAAACGTATTTCAGTCTTCAAAAACAATATTTTCACTTTAAACAGTTCAAATTCCTTTAATGTTGTAACAATAAAGGAATTCTTAATATCTACAATCTATTTATTATTATTGTTGTTATTATTATTGATATAAATACTGGGGGGTCGAGTTCATTTTCCACAGTCGTATAATTTACTGATCCAGTATCGATACGTTTGATCATTTATTAGTTTTATTCCTTTTTGTTTAATGAGTCACAATGAAGAGTTTCAGGTTGTTTTGTGACAGTCGCGGCCTAAAGTTCCTGAGCTTGAAGCTTAAACACTTTCAGACATAACGTAGGTCGAAGGTCATCACTGCAGGAATTCTGTCTGTCTGTATGTCTGTCTGTGGGAAAAGCAACAAACACACTGACTGACTGTAACTCTCAAATTATTTTAATTTACAATGTAAAATGTCTACATTGAATAAATGTTAAGAACTGTATCAGATTGAATCGTAGCTCGTATCAGACGGGACGGAGACACATCACTAATATTGGAGAATGGATGATTAAATTCCATCAGATTTATCACATCAAAAATATTGCAGAAGGGCGACCATTTCTCTCTCTGAGTGAAACTAAAACTTTATCTGGAGCAGGCTGGATTGCTGTAATGAACTCCTTTCTGGTCGACCCAGAAAGTTAAAACTCGGCTGCAGCTGATTCAGAAAGAGAGGACACGTTAACACAAGTCTTTACATCGGTTGTGTTGTTTTTAAAGCATTTTAAAAGGATTTTTAGTCATTATTTACCTTATTTTTATTATGTAGTTTTAAGGATAGCTTTTATTAAACACCTGTAAAATATGTTTTTATCTTCGTATTTTATTTTTCAATCTACCTTATTAGTTTGTATTCAATTCTGTCCTATTATCATCTGTGAAGCACTTTAAACTGCAATAAACTGTATGAAAGGTGCTGCACCAATAAAGTTTGATTGTTTTGCACATTTCATACCTCAGAAAAATACAAAACTAATATAAAATATATATATTGTAGATTGTAGATCATAATTTGTCTTCAATCTCAATTTGTTAGAAATAAAGTTTCGTAAGAAGTATTGAGAACTGTGTTAAATCGTGAGTTGAGCGTACAAACAGAACAAATGAGAGCCAAAAAGTAGAAAGTATAAAATCATTTATTGACATGTGATTTTTTTTATAAATGCTCTTTGTGCTGATATAGTTTCCATTCCTGACAATAAGTGAAGAACAGAAATAAGAATATATATCTGTGGTTACAACAAGTCTTCTCTCAAGCTTTTCCTTAAAGTTAGGAATTTCCGAAACAGTGCATACGTGATATTGACAAAGACTTTGTACCATTGTAACATCGAGGTGCTCTTCATGCACAGACGGCGGTCGTTACATACACGTGACCGACAGCAGAAGTTAGTAAAGTTTAGAGAGAATGAAACCTAAAGAGATATTCAAGCAGCAAGGCTTTAATATCCGTCTTCCCTTTAAAAAAAAATAAAAACACGCCATGCAGAGACGACAAACGACCAAAGTGCATCAGTGTGGACGCCGGCGGCCACAAACAACAACCGGCCTCTCAGTACAAACAGCGTACATGGCAATAATTGCATATTAAGACGTTATATTATATCACAACTACACAGAGTACACGAGACAAACGTACTTCTTATCTTCTGTCTTCTCAGGTGACATTTTAGGCTACATTTCATCTGATTAGAAGGAATAAAGCATCAAATGTGTCCTGATGCTGCAGATATTTCATTGCTAGTTTTCAGTTGTGAACAGATCCGACGGAATTTGAGGTTAATTCTGGTTTGTTATCACATTCGCAGATGACACTCAACTTTTTATATACTAAAAGAAATAGGTTATAGTTAATATTATCAATCTGGTTTGCCTAAAATCTGCATTTAAATGATGTTGGGAGTGAGCTCAAAGTGAAAACTAAACTCCAGTTGACGCCATGTTTGTGCTAGATTCAGATGTTTTGACAAAACCTCAACTTCCCTCAACAAATACAAAGACAGGAGATAATTTCACTTGTTCGGATTTCAGTCTGAAAGCTGATTTTCAGGATTAATGTGGTTAAATATATGACATTCAAAGCCACTCGATGTCGCACTACAGCATGGCGGCATCTCAGGCCAGACTACATAGACAAAACCAGTCATTTTACCTTGCAGATAATTATAAAACACACTTTAAACTGGACAGAAACAAAATAAAAGTCCCCAAATTCTGACAGCATTATGGAAAGGATTCCTACAGAGATAGACCTTTATGTTTAACCAGAAATCAGCCTATAATATCAGCTATCACTCTCCACCAGACTCCAGAGACAGACAGAAACAAAATAAAACTCACTAAAACCGTCTCTGTTAGTCTTTCCAACAATCACCAACTCTGTTTTGGTGGCAAATAAATTCTTAATTCACTGACGTCAATAATAAAAACAGCAGTTTGAGAACACGGCTCGGTGTGACGCCTCTGCTCCACTATATCTTTACAAAGCTAATAGTTGTTTGCAGCTATGTTTTAAATATCGTATGTATGACCATTAAGGAGACATGAAGACATTTCAGTATGTTTGGGGCGTGTTTTTACCTTGACCGACAGGTGTCTCGGCCATCAGCTCTAGGATTTTGGGTTATCCAGTAGCTGACAAAGGTGGTAACGAGAAGAAAACACAAACTCCAGGTTTCACATTTCTTTAGAAATCTGTAAGAGACCTCAGAGACGACTGTAAAAAAGTTAATTCCGACTGTGGTGTTGGACCAGTAGCATCTGCAAAATGTAGCGGGCAAGATGTAAACCTGACTGGTTGACTGGAGGAGGGAGAGACCAGTGAAACCGTTTCAGATAACTTATTATTGAGGTTTACTGCTAGATAGATAGAAAGTTCTGGAACTTCGATGGAGGCACAGATGAAGATGCTAAAGCTAATGAGTGAGTACTGGACAAGCCAGAAGGATTTATCAGAGCTCTCCTGGGAGTCTATTGGCTGTTGTGACCTCCGACCAAGTGGCAAATAAGCCTGCAATTCCTCTAACGGCCACTAGAGGCTGGCTGCAAGAGTGAGTCAGTCTCCATAAGACCCCATATTAAAAAGGCCAACTTTACAGCAGAAATATGATAAATGTGATATAAAATGTCTACAGCCAGGTACAAAAACACTTTTGGTCTCTAGAGCTAATTTTCCCATTCATGACAACTGTACAACTCACCCCTTTAAATCATATTAAGGCTTAAAGTTATGCATAATTAAGGGCGTGGCCACTTTGAGTGATATGTGCGGCTGTTTTCAGTAACCAGGCTTCATTCAGCCGCCTCAGATCCACCCATGCTCCACGTATTAGCCGGGAGGACTGCCAAGATGGCGACGACCAGAGCCGACCGCACTGATCTTTACAACAGCTCTTCACAGAGAGTCTGTGTCTCCAACTAAACAGTCTTACAGGACCAACAGCGACACACTGATGATCACTAATGAAGCAAATTAAATTCACAACAATGAAATTACAAGAATCTCTGTCAAAAGAGGCACCAACTACAATATGGTTCTCTTAGGTTGAGCAGGTTTTATACAACCTCCTCACACTGATGTACCTCCTGTACAATTATCCTGTATGGCCGATGGTCGTTTCATATTGGATGTAGCAAAAACAAAGACAGGAAATGCTGAATGTTTCCACCCTTCACCAAAAGATAAAACCACTGAACTGGTCACTAACAGAGAAATTACTGCGTACGAGACCCTCTCTCCATCCGGTGTGAACCTCCGATCTGTGTCTAATATTAGGGATGTTCCCGGCGACCCATTTCACCGTCGCTTAAACTTAAAATTGAGTCTTGAGACTTGATTCGTTTAAAAGTAAGAAAGCGGATTTGTTTGAGCAGCCGCCTGCAGGGGCTGAATCTCCGGATAGTAAAGACGACATTAACCAGCGTTCTTCATTAATAAAACATAATAATTAGTTTAACCGACATTTTGACTAATCGTGCACAAGATTGGCTGTGGAAGGTCATAGGAACCATCCAACATGTGGAATCTGATTACTGATGTGTTTGGATGTTTTAACCTCGTTGGCTCCATTCAGAACTGAAAACTATGAAAGCCCATTTCTACCAATGTGACATTATTTTGAGATACTAATTAAAAATACTAAGAATCTTATTTTCCTGTGACATTGGCAGAAATGGGCTTCCATAGGAAACTCACCAACATGGAAACATGCATACACAGATTTAATTTTTTTAATAAAAACTAAAATACCATCCAGTCAAATGTCCAGCTCGGTGCAGGAATTAAACATCAGACACATTCAGTGCCTCATTTTCACTGCGCTGCATTAAATCTCTCCCACTCTGGATATTAAACGCTACTGATCTCACTGCACACAGTTTAGTCTGCAGGAAAGCTGAGACGTTCTGACGCTTTTTTCTCTAATAAATTCCAAATTCTCACAGGGAAACTGACCATGACCTGGAAGTCTGGTCCACAATTTCTTTTAATGAGTTCAACAGCTTCCTGATTAGTTTGTCTTTTGATTGATACCAATCACAGAGCAGTGCTGTGATATGAAGTCAAACAGTGCTATCAAAATAACAAACCTATAAGTCTTTTACTCAGTTTCCATCTGTGTACTTGAATCAATTAAGCTATAATCAGCAGGTCCGTTAGTTTTGGAGAGGAGGAGACCTCTGTGGAAAATTGGGCTCTCGGTAGAAACCTCCTGAACCATGAACACTGAAGGAATCCTAATCGGGAGA